GCCTTATCAATTCTCTTCCTAAATCTACTGCAGTAGCCATAAACTTTGGATTTCTACCAAGAGAATGACTGCCAAGAAGACCAACGAATCTTATGGTGTAAGGAAGTGTTCGAGAAGTTCCTTCCATAATGTGAGAATGTGAGATACTCTTCCCATAATCGTGATATATATAGTCTCTAGAACCTGACCATTGATGGAAAAGTAATTATCACCAACCAAAGTATGTACAGTAAATGGACTCAAATTACCTGCATACGAGAACGTACTCGCTAATGCTATAGTCTGCTGACGATATGACGTGTTGAGACTCTGGAACAGTTAGATTCGTTGTCCTAAAACACGTTCAAATCCGAGACGAAAATTCAAAATGACTATTTCTAAGACATCGAACCCTTGAGTAATTTCCAAAGAGTGAAACATCGAAAGAAGAAAATCTACGATTTGTAACGGCAATTCGCAAACGCTATCTTTATATCTCGTGACTCGTATCCTTGAATTACTCAAACTTGATAACTACACTCTTGAAACATCTCGCTTGATCAATCTTGAAAAGATTGAATTCCATTGTTGTATCAAAATATTAAACCCTTGGGAACTTGTCTTAATTCATCAAGATACGTTATACCGATCTTTGAAAACTACACTCTGTGAACTACGGTAAAAGCATTCTGATTGGAATATTATGTTGAGCCTCCTCTCTTTGTGAACCACAAAATGGTTGATGCGATTACGTTATCTCTGAAGATTATTATCGATGATCTCATTTGACCAAACAAACTCCGTTATGACCCTACTAAGGGAATGTATGTGCAACAACCAGAGAAGAAGTGATGCCACAAGGATCAAGCTGAATCATTCAAGTGAAGATTCCGAACCTATATGCGATGTTTGTGTAAGAACTAGTAAAGATTCCTCACTCTATGAATTCATGAATTGAATCACGCACTGAAGATATTATCTTCTTCACTCGAAATGAAATCAACCATAGTGTTACATCAAACCTGTCATTATCAAGAACGTATCTGGATATATTCCAACTCGATGAAGAAAGTTGAATACGACAAGACGTATATGAAACGCCACTCTAACGTTATCACCTGTGGATACGAATTAATGCAAAGACTCATTAACGATAATGAGATCTATCATGAAGTAAACGAAGAAATGTTTTGGTATAAGGTCGATAAATGACAAGCTACTGTACAACGAGTAATACCTCCTCATAATGCATGATAAATCCCATACCCTGAAAATCTTGGACCACGAAAAGCCATTTGATGTTACTTACAAATCATTCTGAACTATATGAATAATGTGAAGATGTCTTGAATGACTTGGATTATTTCGCTAAAACGTATGGATTGAAACAACCTCGGAATCTCCTACTACATCTATTGTGATTCAAAACTACAAATGCTGCTAAGGGACTTTCAATCAAAGAAAGAATGTTGTTGACTAATGACATACAATCGAGATTTGTGAATAAACGAAATAATGTACAAATATGTCTAGTATGATCCAAAATACGACGTTATACCTTGCAAAGGAACTTAAGTTATGGTTGTTGAATCTGAGCGGGAACCTACGAAATGGATTGTTGGATGCCTTGCCTATTAATCTCTTGGAGAAAGAACGAGTTTGATAACATCGATAGTTTGAGAATACGTATCCGTTTGGACAATGAGGTAATTATGGTTTAACAAAATGAACATGACACGGTCATGATAAAGGTGAGATCACTACGAAATGTTAAACGTTGACCATTAGAAGAATTTCGAGGACGAAATTCCTTTAAGGGGGGGAGAAATGTAACGCCCCGAAACATACCCTAGAATTATTATTAAATAATTATTCGATTAAACAAATTTGTTTTGATTATTATTGGGCTTTGGGCCGATATGAAATATTTTTTAATATCCAATATCAAAATCTGGATAAGTCTAATCGAGATAAATCCAATATGTGGACTATTTGTGTGGTCTTGATTGGGAACCTGAGTACAGACCCAAATCAAGAATAAATAAATTAATTAATTATGATGTGAACTTTGTAATGATTTATTGAAATAAATCATGAGAATAATTGATATGAATTAAATGAGAGAACCTTTTATGAGAAAGGTCAATTAAACCAATTTTGACTCTGTTAAAGTCAAACACCCAAAAATATGATGTCGGAAAAAGTATTACAAATAATTATGAAAAGTATATCGTTGGATAGAGCTCGACTGTCTGATCGCAACGGTGCAAACGGATTTCAATTTGGAGAAAGTTGGACCAAAAAGTGTACCCCGACTGGAACCAAAATTGGTCCCAATCAGGGAACTGTTTAGACAACGCCTCTTTCCCCACTACGCCGATCGCAGAATTGTGGAGTCACCATAGTTGTTTTCTTCTTCTCTCGTTCTCATTATATAAGAGAACCCAACCTTCTCATTTCTTCACCATTCTTCTTCATTCTTCTTCCTAAATGTTCATGAAAGTGTGAGGAGTGTTGTGGTGCTGTCAATTTGGTGTGAAGTCGCTGGAGTTGGGAGAAATACTCGCCGGAAGTTTCGCCGAAAAATTTCCAAAACCTCCATTAAGCTTCGAGGTAAGCCCCTAGATATATCTAATGACTAGAATGTTCATATAGGTCGTTTCTACGTTCATAAATGGTCATTTGGTTGAGTTTTGTGTTTGACATACTTGAAGAACTAAGAATCATAAACCATGAAATTGATGTTAAAAGTATGAATTAATGATGCTAAAATGATCCATGAACCTTGGAGAACATTTTTATATACTTTAATTGATGTTTGGTGAGTAAAAGTGACATTTCCGCAAGTTGGCTCGAGGTAGAAGACGATGGATAATCGATTATCAACTTGAAAATCGATTATTCATCGTTCTGCAGATTTTTGTAACAAAGCTGAGCAACAGTCGATTATCAGAATGTGATAATCGACTATCAGCCCTCTCTGAAGTTTGATAATCGATTATTAGAGTGTGATGATCGATTATCAGCTCATTCGGCCAGGTGGTCTTCTTCATTCTACTGGGGTTGATAATTTGATTCCCTGAACAATGGGAATTCAGCTTTGATGGGCTCGATCCAGAATTTCCAATTTCTTGATCCTGGCGGTGACTTCCAATTTCTTGATCCTGGCTCGATCCAGAATTTCCACCCGGGCAAGTTTTGAAACATGCTCGGGGGCATACTGCGTCAGTTTGGAGAGAAGCTCTGCATCCGCATTTTCCGCCCGGGGGATTTGGACGATCTTGAATTCCTCGAAGCCTTTCAACAAGGCAAGCACTAGGTCCTTGTATTGTGCCATTTGTCCTTCTCTGGCTTCCATGTTACCGGTCACTTGCCCAACAATCAGACTGGAGTCAGATTTGATACTGATCCGGTTGATTTTCAGGGTTTGGGCAAGTCTTAGCCCTCCAGCCAGAGCTTCATATTCCGCCTCATTGTTCATCAGCTTGAAGTTGAAGACAAGTGCGTGGTAGATCTTGCACCCTTCAGGAGTGGTAAACACTACACCACCCCCGTACCCTTTAGGACCAGACGCCCCGTCTACTGCCATCTCCCACCATTGCTCAGTGGGCTTGTTGACCGGTAGATCTGGAGTTAGACCGGTCATTTCTACCAGGAAATCTACGAGGGCCTGTCCCTTGATTGCTGATCTTGGCTGGTACTCAATGTTGAATTGAGTTAACACCATTGCCCATTCCACCATCCTCCCGGAGGATGTTAAATTTCGCAATACTGCACCCAGCAGTTGGTCAGTCAAGACTTCTATCGGGTGAGCTTGGAAGTAAGATGTTAACTTTTTTGCGGAGATGAAAAGCGCGTAGGCCGTTTTTTCCATCACTGTATATCTACTTTCTGCCCCGTTTAGTGCTTTGCTCACATAATAAATGGGTTTTTATGCTCCATCATCTCTTATTAAATCGGAGCTTACAGCATTTGGGGAAATTCCCAGGTACAGATACAGAGTTTCACCCGGCTCAGGTTTAGACAATACAATATCCGACACTAGGTACTCCTTTAATTCTTCAAATGCCCTCTGGCAGTCTTCGTCCCATGCAAATGTGTTGGCCTTCTTCAGGACCTTGAAGAAGGGCAGGGATCTCTCAGCTGACCGGGAAAGAAAACGGCTGAGGGCCGCTAGACGACCGGTCAACTTTTAAACATCCCTCACAGAAGTGGGGGCTTGCATTTTAGTGATAGCCCAGATTTTTTCTGGGTTGGGCTCTATACCTCTCTTGGTCACCATGAACCCTAAGAACTTCCCGGTACGAACCGCGAAGACGCATTTCTTAGGATTCAACCGGAGGTTGTATCTTGCCATGATATCGAATGTGGCACGCATATCAGCCGGGTGGTTGAGAGATACCTTGCTTTTGACCAGCATGTCGTCGACGTATGCCTCCATGGTCTTTCCCAGTAACGGCTTGAAGAGTTTGTTCACCATGCGCTGGTAAGTTGCTCCTGAATTCTTCAAGCCAAACGCCATCACCCGGTAACAGTAGGTTCCTTCGGGTGTGAGAAATGACGTCTTCTCCTCATCTTCCTTGGCCATGTATACCTGGTGGTAGCCCTTGAAAGCGTCCATGAAACTTGGGAGTTCGCACCCCGCAGTTTTGTCCACCATTTGATCAGGACTCGGTAGGGGGTATGAATCCATCGGACAAGCCTTGTTCAAGTCCGTGTAATCCACACACATCCTCCATGTGTCGCCCTTGGGAGCAAGGACAACGCTGGCCAGCCAATCCGGGTATTTGACTTCCCTAATGTGACCAACACTGAGGAGGTCCTTCACCTCCTTCCTGACGAAGCTAGGTACCTTTTCTTCTGGCGTACCGGTCGACTTCCATCCCTCACTGCCAGCCGGTGACAGATGATTGAGCGGTCAATTCCGGGCATATCTGCCACGCTCCACGCAAATATGCCCGCGTATTCTTGGAGCACCCGTGTAATCTCCGCCTTGAGATCTTCTGGGAGATTTGCTCCAATTCTAACCATCCTTGAAGAATCACCCGGGTGGAGTTCGATCTCCACCGTCTTGGCCTCGGGCTCCAGCTTCTCCCGGGTTTCTCCCTTGGTGATTTCCTGGGAGATGACGTTGACCCCTTTGGTCATCTTCTTGACTGCCCGGGCATAGCACTCCCGGGCGTTTCTCTGGTCGCCTTTCACCTCTCCCACGCCACCTGGAGTATGGAACTTCATGCACAGGTGTGGCATGGAAATCACCGCCCCGACCTTATTGATGCCTGGCCTGCCGAGAATTGCGTTGTGGACGCATTTGATGTCCACAACGATGAACCGCATCTTCTTCCATACGGTTTTTTCACCCGATCCTAGTTCGACCGGTAGAACTATGGACCCCTCAGCCTCCACTGTATCTCCCGTGAAGCCTGAGAGAGGAGTTTTGAGCGGTTCAAGTTGTGTCCGACACAACCTGAGTTTTTGGAAGGTCTCCAAGTACAGGATGTTGACACTGCTGCTGGTGTCAACAAGTACCCGGGCGACATCCACCCCATTAATGTCAATTGTGATAACCAATGAATCATTATGATCTTCACCGGTAGGAGGGAGGTCCCGGTCAGTAAAGACGATCGGTTCCCTCCTGGTACGATCGGTTCCCTCCTGGTATGCTTACGCCTGGCCGGTTCAGCACTTACTTCACCAACGTAAATGCTGCAGACCCAATTCTTCCGCTGCGCGGCTGAATCTCCACCTTCAGGTCCGCCGAATATCATGCCTATGTGTTCCTTCTCAGGAGCAGGCTGTTGCTGTCTTTGCCGGTTATTCCTTCGCCGGTCATTGTCCCGGTCATTTCCCTGGGCTGCTGGCCTAACCCATTGATGACTCTTTTCCTGGGCTTCTAAAAGTAATCTTTGCCCAGTTCCCCGTTGTCTATCATCTACCGGATTACTCCCTTAACACTCTTGCATTCGGAAGTGTTATGGGAATCTGACCTGTGGTACGAGCAATACGTGCCCGACCATTGTCGTCCCAGTTGACCGGTAGGATTTTCCGGAGGAATGACCGGTGCTTTTCGTATTTTCTGATACTCTTCTGTGCCGACCACGCAGACGACCGGGTCATAGTGATGCCTTGGCCGGCTAGGTCCCGGCGCTTCTTCCTTCTTGACTTGCACCGGTTTGGGCTTGAAACCATGCTCAGCTTCTTTCTTCGCCCGGAGTTGTGTTTCTGCCTCAGCAAACTCCCACGCAGTGTGATAGGCCTCTTGATACGTGGCCGGGGGTTTCCGGCAGAACTCCTTGTATAGTTCCCCGGAACGTAAGCCATTCAAGAGAAGGGACAACACCATCTTGTCGTCCATCTCTTCTACCTTGTCAACCTCTTCCTTCCACCGGGTGAGGAATTGAGTGAGGTTCTCAGATTCCCTCTGCCCGGCTGTACTAAGATAGGTGAATTTCTTCCTCTTAGTACAATTCTGCTGGAACTTGGCCTTGAATTTTGAGGCCAAATCACTGAACGAATCAATGCTTCTTGGGCGAAGCTTATTGAACCATTCAGTTGCTCGGTTCTGCAAGGTTTGGAAGAAAAGGAGGCACTTTTCTTCGTCTGTGCAACCGTTCATGGTCGCACTTTGGTTGAAGGAGTCCAGATGGATTTCTGGATCCTCCTTCCTAGTGAACCTCGGGGCGTCAATCTTGACCTTCCGCGGGAAAGGTGTCAAATGGGCTCTCGCGGTGAACGAGGACCCGGCGAGGGGTTTGTCCCGGTCACTTTTCTCCCCGACCTTCTTCTCCAACCTTTCCAATTTCGCCTCCATCTATTGGACGCGGTCATTCAGGATGGTTAACCGGTTAGACACTGGTCCCCTGGGATGACTCTCTGCCTCTTCTTCTTGGCAGGAGGCCCTCGTCTTCGCTGGCTCCTGCCGGTTGGACCTGGAGCGCTGGGTACGGGCAGGCTCGGCCTCCCTCCCCTCGCCTAACCGGGTGAACGCGCTGACATGGGCAACGCTTTGTCCCAGCCTCAGTTTGGCTGACTTTCTCTGGCCCTCCTCCCTATCCCCCAGCCTTTCGAAGGCGGAGTTTCGGGAAGTGGCTGGTCGGATGGCCTTTCCTTTCTTCTTCTTGTGGGCTCTGACTCTTCATCACCACTTTTCCACAGAAATGCAATGACCTTCCGGAGTGCCCTGTGGGTTCGTACCTTGCGGAGGGTGTGACGGCCCAGCAGCGTTGAGCACACCAGTCAAGTTGACGGGAGCAACTGCGTTAACCAGTTGTGGCTGGAAAGGCGAGGGCTGCGGTACCGGTGTCTGGAACAGCGTCACTGCCATCGGAGTTTGAAGGGGCATCGTTCCAGCGCCTGGAAGGGCGAATGGAAACATGTCAAGGAGGAAAGGCATTCCCCCATTTTGTTGACACATGGCCATGACCTGGCCAAAGCCCTAGATGGCCTGCAGGTTGGCCGGATCGTTCATGAACTGAGTCATGCTAGGTGGGAAAGTGACCCTCGGTCCAGCAGAAGGGACGGGGATCGTAAACGGGCTAACCACGCTAGGTTTTGGGATTGAAATTAGACCCAATGGCAACACCGGGGTAGAAATGGCCGGTAGGGTAGCAGCCATGGGGATGCTGGTACCCTCATTGGTGGCTTGCACCTGAGCGGAAGTGATGTTGATTTGCTGGCTTGACGACATTTTGAGTGGCGTTTTTGTGGGTAGATTTGTGTTTAGAGGAGAAAAAAAACCTTAACGGTCCCACGGTCGGCGCCAAAAAATGATGGTGTAAATTACCTAACCAGGTAAACTATTCTAGACCGGGCCTAGGACAGTTTACTTGATTCGATAAAGTGAGAAGATAAAAACACTCAGATGACCGGTAAGATTGTAGGTGGGAACACCTGTAGCCGAATTGATATTAATATGAGAGAATGCACAGGTGCTTTTACAAGGGAGCTTAGATAGAATGAATTCGGATCCCTCTTTCTGAGGTTTACAGCAGTATTTATACTAGGTTTGGGGGAACAAGGTGTCGTGCACCCATGTGGAGGCACGTTCTCGGATGGCGGGAGGTGACGGGCTTCGTCCTCTAGCTGCCTTGTCATCTTGCGAGGAAGATTACTTCCTTTGTCAGGTAGCGCTTTGGATGGAATGTTCGAGTATTTCCAGCGATCCTCAACTGATATGGGTCGCTACAGTCCAAGCCATTTTAGATTCTCTTCTGCCGACGCTCTCTAACCCTGGAAACTACACCGGGTAGTTTCCTAGGGACGAGTTTATCACTTCTAGGAATGAATGAGACGATGAGATAGTTTGACCGATATACGTTTCTGAAGTATACCGGTCACCTTTTGACCGACTGGGTGTCCTCCGGCTGACGATTAAAGTCTCCCTTTCCTGTACTTTCAGATTGACCGGTCAACTATTTTGTCTCTTCCTTCGACCGGTCATGGGTGGAATACACCCATCAGAAATATTGTTACATAATTAATAAACCCATCATACAGATTCATTAAAAGAATATTGATTTTTGTTTAAGAGGGGTGAGTGATATGAACTATTATACATGAATTAAAGAAAATTTTAAAATTTATATTGTCTAGGTAATTAATAATAAAGTAAATGTATTTAATGAATATGGGCGGGCTTGTTGGCCCGGATGGGCTAAAAGTAACTTCCAGATCCGCCCAAATACAATTCGGGCTTGGGCCGGCCCGCCAATGTGGGTATTAAAGATTGTTCATATCCGCCCATTTTAAAGGGCGGGCTGGGCGGGCCAGACGGGCCGACCCTTGTTTGCACAGGTCTAATTAAAACCGAGTTCAGTGATCTCTCCAAAAGAAGAAACCACAACGTTTGAATTTTAATAAGATCAATTTAATCAGTTACAACTTTAGATGGAAATAGATTTCATTTTTTTATGCTATTTATGGCGTGAGGTTTAATGGTTGTTGTCCTTAGTTCCAGAGTGCAAAAGGGAAGTGATCGGTTCAAAGAGGCTAACAGAAATTGTTGTTCTTTTTTATCCTTTAAAACTCTTTTTTGTTCTTCAAAATTCGATTTCATAACATAATGCATTTGTGTATCACCGTGTCAACTTTGTTATTTGAATTTAATGAAACTTTGGGTACTTCATAATATGAGTTCACGGCATCTCTTTTACAGTGCCCACTTTGTACTTCCTTTGTCTCAATTTAAGTTATCTCTTTTCATTTTTTCGTTTGTCCCAATTCAACTTATATGTTTCCATATGTGAAAAATAATACTTGTAGTTCATACAGTTTGTTGTCTCTCTGGATAAATATAACCACATACTTTTACTTTATTAAAAAGCTTGATCAGTCATTAATTTGGAACTGAGGGAGTAGTAAAAGATAAATTTGAATACTTAGTATATGGAAAGTGAGATAGCACTAAAAAATATGGAAAGCAAGATGACTGTTAATTGCAGGCTTTGAAACCTGAATTACAAAAGGATTGTTCTTGCTCTTCAAAGTGGATTAAAGAGTGAGTTGACATGGGCATTCAATACACTCACATTGCTTTCGTTCAAGGAAAAAGATGAAATTCGTAGAGATGCTATCCCTCTTTCTAAAATTCCCAGATTGCTTGATGCTTTACTTCATGTCGTAAGTTTTTGATAAACATAATGAATTTACACTGTACAACTATCCATCCCAACCCCCAATGCTGCTGAGGGCCTTTAAAATGTATGAGCATACTGATGAATATAATAATAACAGATAGATGAGTGGCGATATATAGCCTTACCAAGGGTGCTTGTGAAAGCACCTAGGGTGAGACTCTTGGGTACAAATTCTCTTTTCACTGGATTCGGAAATGAATATGACGAAGTGGTGTCAAATGGTTCAATTCCCCATCCTAGGTAAATTTTGCATGATTGTTCTAAACTATTGACAATCTTAAATGTTACTCCCTCCGACCTGCTATGTTTGTCCCTTTTCGGGTTACGATGTTTGACTGAAACTTTTTTTGATGAAAAATATTTAAATATTGGTGTATAATTAAAAAAATTACAGATTTGAAAACAAGAGGTGACAAGAATATATTTTATGACAAATTATAGATGAAAATATGTAAAGTAGATTTAGTTGGACCTTGTAAATAGTGAATGAGACAAAAATAGTGAGACGGAGGGAGTAATAAACAAGGTGAAACACTGAAACTAACGGAGTAGCTACGTGATACAAGTGACCCTTTAATTGCAGCTCTGGAACTGGATCTTCCATCAAAGAGACCTCTGTTCAAAAGACTGCTGCAAGAACGTGTCATGCTGATTGGTGGTTTGAAGAAGATGGCCTATTTAGCTTGGATGAGGAAGGGAGAACTGAAAAGCAACAATGTTCTGTTCTTGCCTCTAATATTATACGAAATTTTTCTTTCATAGCAGATAATGAAGCTATCATGGCTAACCATCGACATTGTGTTGAAACCCTTTTTCAGTGTCTTGAGGATTATGTTGTAGGTGGGACTTGAGAACACAAGTAGAACCATTACCAATGCATAATTTTCTCTATAATCATTGTATGGCTTGTGATTTATCATGTAATTGTTTTTGTTTGATATGATCAATACTATATATACTCCATATTATTTCGATGTGTGTGAACTTTTTAATGTTTCCAGAGGATGAGGAGCTTGTTACAAATGTGCTTGAAACTATTGTTAATCTGTGCCATTGGCTAGATCTTCGAATATTTAGTTCATCAAAACCTTATGTCCTTAACATGAGGTACACATTCTTTTATTCTGTGGTTTCTTAATGTTTTTGATATTAGTTCTAATCTGATTCCATTTCACTGCGGGGTTTCTATTATCAGGGAGAAACGTGCTGTCGAGGCTATCATGGGCCTGCTGAGATCATCTGTCAGAGCCTGGCATTGTGGAGCTGCAGAACTGATTGGTCGTCTAATTTTAAATCCTGATAATGAACCATTCATTCTTCCCTTTGCTTTACAGGTTGCTTTGTTATTAGAATTCTTATTGGTTCGGCTTCAAAAAATGTAAAAGATCACCTCATGGAAATGTAATAACAATGAAGAATCGACAATGATTTTTGCAGATTTATAAAAGGTTAATTGATATGATGAGTCTGCCTACAAACGATGCTCAGGCTGCTGCCGTGGGTGCATTGTACAATCTTGTAGAAGTAAACATGGACTGCCGACTGAAGCTTGCAAGTGAAAGATGGTGAGATGAATCTAAGATTACATCTTTCCTAGCTTAAAATTTACATTTCGAGCCTATTTCCATTTCCTTGGAACTTGTGTGTGTGTGTGTGTGTGTAGGGCAATTGATCGGTTGTTGAAAGTGATCAAGTCGCCGCATCCAGTATCAGAAGTTTGCAGGAAGGCAGCCTCTATTTTGGAGAGCCTAGTGGCAGAGCCACAGAACAAGCCCATTCTGCTCGTCTTTGAAACTGCTTTCACTGAGATTCTCTTTGCCGACGGAAAGCATTCTGATATATTTGCAAGGATTTTGTGTGAACTAACGTCTCGGCCAGGCAAATCCACCCTAGCTCGAGGTATTTGGGGCATGTAACCAATGTCTTCTCTCACTTGCTAACATCTTGCCAAATCCTTGTCGGTTAGACTTTGTTATGCTCCATCCAGCATATATATATATATATACGGAGTAATACATTTGTTACACAAGACTAATCTTAGTGTAAATCGTAAAAATGAAAACAGAGTAAGTTGTAATTGCCTTGTTCAAGCAGTTGAGTGGTTGCTCGATCAAGTGTTCTTCCTCTCATTTTTACCTCACCATTGTTCATCCAAACTGTTCCGGTCGGTTGGATTGTCATGTGCATCTCTCTCAATACTTCACAATTACCGATTCATCATAAGCCTAGAGGGTGATGTTTCGGTTCTGTCCTATTAATACAACCGTCACTACTAGGGCTGTTCTTCTTGCTCAAATGACCCACGGAATTGGTCTACACTAACTAGTTCAAGGAATTTAAAAGGGAAAAGAAAAGAAATCAAGATGGAAACCGGTTTTTTTGTTTGATTAGAGAAAAAGAAAAGAAAAGTAGATGGAAAAGAAAATGAAAAGGTAAAGTATACTAACACTATGTTTGGTTCAAGGAATTTTAAAGGAAAAAGAAAAGAAATTAAGATGGAAAACATTTTTCTTGTTTGGTTAGAGAAGAAAAGAAAAATGGATGGAAGAAAAATGAAAACATAAAATATACTAAGAGGAGGAAAAAACTAAATTTCTTCCATTTTGGTGAGAAAAATGAGAGAAGCTCATTTTCTTTTCTTTTCTTTTCTTTTCTTTCTTAATTATTTGAATCAAACATAGTGTAAGAGGAGAGAAAACCATATTCCTTCCATTTTGGCGAGGAAAATAAAGAAACTCATTTTCTTTTTCTTTTCCTTCCTAATTCCGTGAACCAAACATTGTTTAAAGCTTTTTGCACAGAACAAAAGTATCCCCAACTTAGATCACGTTGCGAAAGAAGCTCATCCATGACTTTTGAAAACATGATGTAAATATGTAATATGATTTGCCTTATTTTTTTAAAAAAAAGCTCTACGAGAATATATAAATAACGAAGCTATAATTGAAAAGTTGATTAGAAGATGTTTAACTCAAAACAGTATATTACTTACAAAAGATGGGTGCACATTCATGAGATTCGGGGCTTACATGAATACTCCCTCTCTCCCTCATTGAAGTTTACACTTTCATTTTTTTTTCTCATTGAAATAAATATATTAGAAATGGAGTATACATGATATGTGGTATATTGGATTGAGAAAAATATTGCTCATGTAATTGGCCTAATATGCACGTCGAAGGTAGTCTTTCGGTGGAACAGGCCCAGCCTTACGAGCGACCCATGGGCCAAATAGGCGTGAGGCTAGGGCTTGAGGCACGGCTCGCTAGGTTTAGTTATATGAGGAGGAGTTTTGTAGTTTTCATGACGAAAGTGGATCTCAGTAGAGTTAATAAGGAATCTTATGTAACTTATTAGGAATAGAATCCTAAATTATTTTAGTTTTCTTATTCTCTCTACTATATTATTTTCTTCTATTTTGTTTAGGATTCTACATGAAATCTCTGTATATACTCTTTGGAGCTTCATTATTCAATAAGATTAATTATTATCAAATTGTATCATTGCATCGAAGGATTCGAAGCTAATATTTTTTCTCAAACCTAGCCCTTTTTCGATCGGCAAAACGCTCTCTCTTCTTCGGCGGTCAACTGACACTGTTGGTGTTTATGCCTCGAGAAGGCCCAAAAGCCCAACACCGACTTTTGAGCGTGGCATGGGTGCCTCGAAATGTGGGGAATACCTGATTTGGGATTGAAAAAGGGAGACCCTCTTTTATTGACTAATTACTAGGACAAGGGGTGAGACCGGATTATCTTGCCCCAAGAAGCAATTGATATGAGCCTAACGTAATATCGCTCTTTTCTCTCTCTAGCATGCGATCCCCTTCTTCTTCCCTCCTCTCTTTATTTATAGGAGACGTTTTGGTGGAAAGAATTTGGCGAGAACTTGGGATGGGTCTACAGTGATGGTTTGCTGTATGGTGCTTGTCGGCGGCAAGCATGCATGTTAGACATCGCCTCCACATTTAATGCAATGTACGGATGTTATGATAGGCATTTGGGGCTGAAATGACTGGGCAGACTTAGGACGGTTTGTGCTTGACTCCTTGCCTGGGACTCAGATGGCGCTTCACGCATCCAAGTGTGTCCCAACAGACGGGACGTTAGTATGGTTCAGGCCCTACCACCGATCGCGATATAGGCCGATCACTCGATGCTTGGGCCAGGGTTCGGACCATTTGGGCCGGATCATGGTCATTGGGCCTCTATCCCAACACAAGCCCCTGGAGTTCGGATGCCTGAATGAAATGAATGGTGTCGTGTATTCCTCGATTTATGGGGGAAATTCCAGTAGTCCCTCGCCTACACTTCTGCCCTCAAGGACTATGCCCTCTACGAGCTTCCCGAGTTTATGGGGAAAATTCTCTTGAGAGAGGAACCTCTTTGGGTGGAGTTTGGTTCCTTGAGTCTTTCCCGGTCGGTGAGTCCTTTTTGGGAAATCTCGCCACTGATAGCTTTATGAAGGGTGACGAAGAGGGGCGCTCAGTCTCATGCTCGAAGCTTGCGCCCATCCTTCTTCCCAAAGCTTGTTTTTACTATACGCAGGTAGGAATGATGAACTTGGAGCCTATCCCAAAGGTCAATGAGAGTGAGGAAATGTACAGACGGCGGACGGCGGACATGGATTATTTCTTCTACTTAAATTACTTTAAATCCTTTCCGGGCATGAACCCACCATTGTCGTATTTTAATTATGGATTGTTACTTTATTTAGCTTCCACATCAGATTGTTTTATTTTACTTTGTATGTTTTGCTCGACTGTTTTCCCAACGATTTTTATTTAAATTAAATATGACAAAGGAATTTGGATTTTCTTAAATAGATGGTCCCTTAATATCATTTATGTAACCCTCCGACCCGTCAGATCATAGGCGAATCAGATCCTACGAGTTGTGGGTGTTACAATGTCAAAGGCTGATTAAGTGGAATTTAAATGCACAACGCCAACGACAGAGAGAGATCAGGGCTAATCGAGCTCACCATACTCATCATCCTCCATGTACTACATTAGATTGGAACTATAAACAAGGGTGAAAGTCGTTGTACAACCCGCGCTCAACACACCCAAAATAGTCGTGCTCCATTGTCGCCTTCTCAAGCTCTATTTTTCGATTCATACTTTATTCTTCTAGTTCATAATTCAATCTAGTCTTTGGGGTCAGATTCTTCGATGATATTTATTTTCATCAGGGACAAATTAATTTTGAAAAAATTAAAGATAAAGAATATTGTCTGATAGTCTTTTCAAAATGTTAATACTAACTTCTAATGTTAGCTACGTCTAAATTTATATTCGTACTAATGAATGCTTATTTGACAAAGTTTTTTTGAATGGGTTTATTTGACAAAGTTAGACAAAACACACGAACATACCATTTAGAGTATGAATTTAGCATCCCTATAAAATAGCAAAATATTGCATGGATCTAAGACCCATGATATCTATAGTGGAGTACGAGTATATGCTAATTTAGTACTCTGTATATTCTAATTGCTGAAATATTCATTTTTTTAAAAAAATACTCCCTCCGTTCATTTTTAATGTTCATACTTTGACCCGGCACGGAGACTAAGAAATATTAAATTTTACATTGACTCTCCAATTATGCCCTCACTCATTTCCCTGCCCCACTCCCTCAATGTCTGATCCTACATCTTCAATCGCCGGCATAGCCCCGCCTCTCAACCCTATCATTCCAAAATCAGAGAGATTCCGGCGATCCATCGCAGAGAAGGTTGGAAAAATTAAAAAAATGAAGAAACCGGAAGAAGAAGATCATTTGTCGGTCCTAAAATCCTTCGTAGATCTGAATTATATTTCTAAGATCTGGACCAAATCCGAATAATCCGAAGAAGAAGACGAAGAATCCGAAGGAGGAGGAGGAGGAGGAGGAGGAAATCTGGAAAAAGAAAGAAAAGAAAAGACTGAGGGGAAAGAAGAGAGGAGAAACAGAGGGGAGAAGAAAGAGAAAAAAAGGACCGCTGGAATGGAGAAGGAAAGAACAAAGAAGAGGGAAAGAAGAAAAGAGAGAAGAAAAAAGAAAAAAAAGATGGGAAAAAGTTTGGTGGGGGCAGTGAAGAGTGGAGGCAAAAGAGAAAAAAAAAGACGATAGAAATAAAGTAAGGGTAATTAAGTCTTTTGATACAAAAAAGATTACCAAAAAAGGAAATGTGAACTTTATTTATGGACGGACTAAAAAGAAAAATACAAACATTAAAAATGGACGGAGGGAAAATGTGAGAAGGTCCATGTAGACATTAGGCACACCGTACACCATATAAACATTAGGCACACCGTACACCATATAACATCTCATACTCCTTCCGCCCTAAAAATAATCTTAATTTGACTTTTGTGTTAATTTTGACTATATATTACCCGGAGTATGAAAAAAATATATTTAATTATAATTTAAATTTAATATAATTAGATTCATCTTAAGATGTAGTTTTGATATGTCAAAATTTTAAAATCTTTATTTAATCAGAACTATATCTAATATATGATCAATTTTAATACTACCTTCGTCCCAGAATATTTATCCAGTTTGACTTTTTTGAGTCAAACTCGACAAAATTTGATTCTTAATTAAGTAAAAACTAGTATAAAAGTGATTTTAATATATTTAACTTGTTTAAAACTTTCAAATGTTTATTCCATTGTATGACTATGCAATACCAACTACGAGTAATTGATGATTAAAGTTTATCTAATTTGAGTCGAAAAAATCAAATGGGACGTAATGAGTACTAATATAAAAGGCAAAATAAGATGAATAATGGGAGAAATACCAAAGTAGGACTAAAACATTGAAAATATACCAAAATAGGATTTCCATGTTTTTATTTCCAAAATAAGATTTACATTACGAAATATGGTCATGTACATCACCAAAAAAGTATAGTAATGTGCACATGTATATAGTACATGCCACATTATCACTGTGTAAAGTTTTAATTCGAAAATAAAATATAAAATTCTTATTTTGATAGTTTTTTCTATGTTTCAGTTCTATTTAGGGTGATTTTAATGAATAATCTAAAAAAGTAAGAAATAGGGAGTATAAAATATTTGTAATGTTTTAGACTTTTAGTCTTTGAAATTACATTTTAATAACTTTGCACCGTAAATAATGAATGATAATTTGACTATTTCAATACAATAATTACTCCCATATACGGAGTTCTACAAAACTAGAAGTGACAAAACTATATTATTTTATGAAATGACTAGTAAAAATGAGCAAACAAAGTGATTAAAGTTTGACCCTGTGAATTGTGTCTGGGAAGATCTATGATGAACAGAGGGAGTAAGAAATACCGAGTATAAAATATAAAATACGGAGTATATGTGATGTTTTAGACTTTTAGTCTTTGAAATTCCATTTTAATAACTTTCCACCGTAAATAATGAATGATAAATGAGAAATTTACTTAAATAAGACTAAAACATAATGACTTTCACAATATAGGATCATATGTTTTTATTTCCAATGTAGGACCTTTGGTCATTATGAAGTAGTCATTATTCAAGTAAATGTCTATCATTACTGGACATTATTCCTCCTACTAAGTCATTATTAAATCCTATTTAGGGAATAAAAAAGTTTAAGTTTTACATTAAGAAAGTCATTATGTTTTAGTCCTATTTAGTGCAAATTTCACATGATGAATTGACTATTTCAACACAATAATTACTGCCATATACGGAGTCCTACCAAAATCTATCGGGATACTAATGACTCGTACTAGCAAGTAGCTGTACGCCCAATTCAGAAAGAAATCAATTTCCAGTTAACCAATACCAATCCAACACCAGCCCAAGTAGGAAATAAAAAGGGTAGTTTAGTCAAATTCCTAATCCAAATTCCAAATCATGGCAACAGAGAAGGGCAAGCCCATCCAACAATTTTCCGCTTAGTATATTTCCCTATAAAGTGTATTTTTCATCGCTGTGGACTCACTAGGTCGACCCCGTTTTCTTTTCCCTCCCCCGCAGCCGCCGTCGCAGGCGTCCGTAAGGATGCCCGGTAAATTCCTCCAGCCGCCGTGGGGGAACGTCAGAATAGGGCGCACCTCCAGCAACGATTGCGCCGGAAACGGCAACGTCATACTCAACAATTACCAGCTTGGCCGGCTTTTGGGCCGCGGTAGCTTTGCGAAGGTGTACCACGCCCGCTGCTTAGACGACGGCACTGACGTCGCCGTCAAAGTCATCGACAAGAACACCACCGTCGACGCCTCAATGGAGCCGCTGATAATCCGGGAGATCTCCGCCATGCGGCGCCTGAACGACCACCCCAACATCCTAAAGCTACACGAGGTAATGGCGACGAGGACCAAGATCTACCTCGTCGTGGAGCTCGCTCACGGCGGCGAGCTCTTCTCTAAGCTCACCCGCAGCGGCCGCTTCTCCCTCTCCACCGCCAGGTACTATTTCCACCAGCTCGTATTCGCCCTGCACTTCTGCCACCAGCAAGGCGTCGCCCACCGCGACATCAAGCCGCAGAACCTCCTCCTCGACAGGGACGACAAGTTGAAAATCTCAGATTTCGGCCTCTCGGCCCTGCCGGAGCAGATCCAAGACGGCCTCCTCCACACCATGTGCGGCACTCCGGCGTACACCGCCCCTGAGGTGATGGTCAGAAAGGGATACGACGGCGCAAAGGCGGATGCTTGGTCTTGCGGAGTCATCCTTTTTGCTTTCCTTGCAGGGCGCCTTCCGTTTGACGACGGCAATGTATCAAACATGTACCGTGCAATGCGAGCCCGAGCCTTCCAGTTCCCGGATTTGATTTCCAAGTCTTCCAGGCACATAATCAAGCGTCTGCTCGATCCCAATCCGTTGACAAGATTAGGGTTAGAGGAATTAATGAAGCTCCCATGGTTCAAGAAATCATCATCCCAACCAGATTTGACAGGGGGACAGCAAGTCCTGGAAGATGATTTCGATACCGATTGCAAAGGCTTGAGCAAAATGAATGCGTTCGATATAATATCAATGTCTCCTGGGTTGGATTTATCGGGGCTGTTCGGGGCGGGATCCGACAAGAAAGTAATGAGATTCACCACAAATGCAGGAGCGGGAGAGGTTGAGGAGAAGGTGAAGGAAATTGGTTGCGCAGAGGGGTACAGAGTGGAGAGGAGGGGGAGAGGAGGGGTGATTAGGTTAGTGAAAGAGAGGCTAACATTGGTGGTTGAAATTCAAGAAATGGCGGCAGAGCTATGGCTGGTGGAGATGAAGGTGGTCAATGGAGAAACGGCATTCGATGAGAAGCAGTGGGAGGAATTCAGGATTGGGTTGAGAGACGTGTGCTGCTTGTTCATGGTGGGTGGCATGAATGAATTGAATTGAAGGTACACGCTGAATTGCAGGTGGATTCGTGGAGGAGTTTTTAAATGAAATGTTTTTTTTGTGTGTTTTTTCTTACCGAGAAGAGAGGTAGATGCCTATAGGTTTGTTCCCATTTTGTACTTGTGTTTTCATTCTTTCATTCAATACATAATACTGGAACAAATGTACATCATTAATTCATTTTCATAATATTCCATCTCTTGGGCCTTCCATTAATTTTTCATTTGAAAAAAAAGGATGAGCTCCATCTCTAAAACTCCTCTAACCTAGTTGGACGGTTACTGTGAAGAGATAAATTAGATTTTAATTTCATCGTAGATTGGAGGCAAAAAGTAGGACCTATACACGATACTTGCAGTTGCCAGGAATTTTTTTTTTTAAATGCTCTCATTTGAAAGAGAGATGCTGATAAGCAGGTGAATATGACATGCTGTCTCTTAGCAAGTGTGTTTTATATTCCATTCTATTTATTGTTTAAGTGATTATTGTTCAAAGAAATGACAACCATATCAACATACCCAAATCAATTTTAAAATTAAAGATGAAACCATTCTTGGTCTCAGCAATATGCCTGGAAGGAGATAAATAATTTACACGGCTCTATATAGCACTGGGTGGTTTCCCTCACATGTAAACAAACTAAAACCAAATTCCTAAAACCAACTCTCTAATTCCTTCTGTCTCTGAGTTTCCGCTTTTCATTTTTTTTTATCAAAATAAGTAAATTTTAACCTTAAATTAAATAAAAATGATATTAGATATTAATACAAAAATAGTTTTATTAGAGTTTTTATATTAAATATTTTCAAAATATTATTTTGTATAATTAATATACAATATATATTTTATTAAATGTTAAAAAACATTGACTGAAAAAAGTCAAAAGTGGGCAAATGCTCATAGACATATGTAGTATTATTTTTATATTCCTTGCGTCCCTAAAATATTGACACAATGTGACCTTTTTAGTCAAACTGTAGTACCCTTTGACAACGAATTAAATACTTTTTTAGTCACAATTTCTATTTAATTAAAGCTCAAAGTTTATCTAGTTTGATTTGAAAAAGTCAAACTAGAAAATACATTGAAACGGGGTAGTATAATTTTGACGTTATGTCTCGCTTATATTTTTAGGTTAGAGATTAGATTTAAAATATATTTTTCGTCAAAAAAAAAACTTATAACTGTGATACAATTGTTGGACATGTTGGAAATATTTGATAAATTGGACAATTTTGGACATAAATTTGGTAGGGTCCACAAAATTATTTTCCGAAATAATTATGGACGTTTAATCTCGTAAGTAAGACGAACGTCTCGACATATGACACGCCATGAACAGTGCTCGGGTGAATGAGAAATTAGTTTCAAAGTTGAATACTAAGGTAGAGTAAATGCCTTTGTCCCACACCGGTTTCTAAACCTTTCGTATTCTCATATTTAAGCTTAGGCTTTCAATTGAACTTATGAAAGGAACAAGAAGAGGACTCCTCGCGCGCCCGCCGCCGCCGTCGTCTAGCTCGGCACGCGCGCGTCGCGGCGGGGCGGGGCTAATTTTTTACGAGATCGAAATAAACACGTGTGGACACTTCGTGATTAACGAAGTGCCGTCCAAGAGGCATGCATGCACAAGGGAGGCGAAGGGGGTGCCATGGCACCTCGTAATCTCCGATGGTCCATTGAAGAGCCAAAAATTCCCTCCTATAAAAGGAGGGCTTGGCTGTAGGAGAAGGATACAATCGAAACACTTCTCTCTCAGTTACTCGTATACTCTTCCGAAAATACCCGATTTCCGATCATCTTCTCCGGCGATAGCTCTTCGTCATTCTCGTTCGCCGGTGCTCTGTTCTACCGCTCTAGACTTAGCACGTTGCGGTTTTATCCTGGGAGGAGATTGCCCACGTTTTGCCAGTGCGGGAGGCGGGCAATACTACCTTAAGGAAAGCTTTGGCGACTCCGCTTTCCTAACCTTCACTTCGAGAAACTGCTCCGGCGACTCACAACCTTCGTCCGAAGTCACTGCCTTGCTGTCCGTTCATGTTCGAGCTTCCGAAGACTCCAGTTTTATTTTCTTTTATTTTGTTGTAAAATCCGAATATTTTATAAGTTCGGATTATTTTTTTTTTATTTTCCCGCTGTAATATTCAAGAGGACATGAGTTCCCATTTTGTACTTGTGTTTTCATTCTTTCATTCAATACATAATACTGGAACAAATGTACATCATCAGTTCATTTTCATAATATTCCATCTCTTGGGGCTTCCATTAAATTTTCATTTGGAAAAAAAGGATGAGCTCCATCCGGAAGACTCCTCTGACCTAACTGGACAGTTACTGAGAAGAGATATATTTGATTTTAATTTCATCATAGATTGGAGGCAAAGAAGAGAGCCTGTATCTGGTACTTGCAGTTGCCAGGAATCGAATTCATGTCTTATTACTTTCTAGGCACTTTTTGTCTTATCGAGGATGATTTTAAAAAAAATACTCTGATTTGAAAGAGAGACGCAATCAGGTGAATATGACATGCTATCTCTTAGCAAGTGTGTTTTATATTCCATTCTATTCATTGTTCAAGTGATTACTGTTCAAAGAAATGACAACCATATGACCATATCAACGTACGCATATCAATTTTAAGTTTAAAGATGAAACCATTCTTGGTCTCTTCAATATATTGGAAGGAGATAAATAATTGACACGGCTGTCCTTTACTCTATACTAGTGTTTACCCCGTGCTTCGCACGAGCTCGTATATATTCTAAACTTTTGAGATTCTATAAATATAATTTTAGTTGTTTTAGTTTTTTAATAGTGACAAAAAATGTTTTTGACTGATGGAATATATATTGACATGTTAATTAAAAAACAAAAAAAATTATACAAAATTAATGGTCATTGAATTAAGTGCTAATAGAAATGGTTTGAATTAATAAAATATTATCATAAAAAGTGGATTAGTTACTTGCATAATGATAAATCATTAGATGTTGTATATGTCTCATAATGTTATTTGTGAGTTGTCACTCTTTAATTAAACCAACTTTATTCTATTCACTTTGTTGAAAAATATATGTAGCAATAAAATAAATAATATAGTAAGATAAAATTTTTGAAACAAAGTATTTAATTAATAAATATGCACATGTGATTAAATTTATACAATCATTTTTTGATAAGTAATAAACTAAAATAAGTTGTGGATAGTATAAAAATGATTATATATATATGTGTGTGTGTGTGTGTGTACACACACACACACACAAAATGCGGAGTATATTTTACAATGGTGAAATATATATTTTTAGAATTATTAAAAAATGAAATTTTTATACAAATGTATTAAAAGATATTTAAAATGGGTGCAATGCATATATCCACTTCATAAATGGGTGCACATGTGGATGCACATGTGGCATGCCACATGTCAACACTACAACAACTAAACTCAATTTTACATATATATATATATAGGATAGGATATATAGGATATAGGATAGTACTGGGTGGTACCACAATAGGTACCACATGGTTATAATCTACTATATTTATGGAATACCTTGCCACTAATACATTCAGGTCATTCCCTTGGGTTCCTCTAGGTGATATGTTCAACATTCATTAACAGTTCATAAAACAACATTCGTAAACTAACAATGAATTATCAATATATCCAATATAATCAAATAGCGGCCTAACACTGGGTGTATATGCCCATGTTTACCATCATGCATAACGCAAAGTCTCGAAATCAATCCTTGAAAAAAATACAGACCAACAGACCCGACATAAGGTACCCGACGGTACCTATCATGAGACCCGACGATACCTGTCGCGGTACCCGACAATACCTATCACGGTACCCATCCTCACGGCACCCAGGTACCGATCCTACGGTACCGGGGGTACTGACCGAATCAGCTAGACTCTTCCGATAGGCCTGTCACGGTAGCCACTACCGACCTGGCGATAAGGCCTACCGTCCATCCGGTACTTAGGTACCGTACGGTCATAGGTACAGACAGAGCTGAACGAAGACAAGAGAGTATGGCAGTAGCACGGTACCGTCTCGGCGGTACCGCCTACCGTCTAACGCGACGATTTTTCAGCTTCTGCACCTATTTCTTTTTTTCAACCTCAAACCAACAACAATTTGTTAACAATAAACATCAATAGGTTCATATTTACATTCCTAACATTCTTGATGGTTATAAACCACTGAGAATAAAGAATAATATAAGTTCTTAGAGAGAGAGAATGCAAAGTAGGAGTTTATTTGTTCTAAACTTGGATCCATTACAATGAGGGGTCTCGCCCCTTTTATAGGGAATACAATAGACATAGTCAAAGTTCCTCGGATCGAGGTTCGTCGCCTAGCGAGCGTCATCACCTGCGATGTGTTGTCCCTTTCATCCCGTCGCCATCGCGCAGTCAACGTGGCCGGTCTCTATCCGCCCGTCGCTATCACGCTCCCTGGCCGAGCCGAGCCTAGAGGGCGGGCCGAGCTCACAGGCCCACCAGAGAAGATCTTCCACGTGGCTGGTGGGGTCCGGCTGATGGAACACTCTCCGGGTTTCGTTGCAATCGGCGATGGAACATGAGAGAGTATGGGTACTGTAGGAAGGCAGCGTGGGGGCCCACGTGGAGTTAGCAGGCCATTGGTGCCGCTTGGGCTTAGCCATCATGAAGGGGTGCGTCGTTTCGTTTCCCTAGGCCAAGTGGCGGCCCATCATTGCACCCATTAAACCCTTCCTCTATATATACCAACCCTACTCACTTCATTTTCCACTTTTAGAGAGAGAAAGCAGGACCCTTCGCCGTCGTTAGCCTTCCGGCGGTCATTCTCGTCCATTTTCCGGCTCCGTGCTAGGTTAGTCTTCCTCGGCCTTACTCTTCCATGTCTTCCCAATCCTCAGTCTTTCGTCAGTCTGAGTCCGAGCGCGATGCTGAGGGCTCTGTCATAGGTTCCGCTCAGGAGAGCGACTCTCGCTCTCCCTCCGTCGAGGAGATAGTCGCGGCGGTCGAGGTCCCTCCTCAGTCCGAGCCTCGCAATCAGAGGCGTACCACCCTCGAGGACTCGAGGATCTGTGCGTGGAAGTGAACCCTTACGGGGGAGGAATTCCGCAAGGCAAAGCGCTTGGCCTCGGCGCCGGGCATGACCGTGCACCGTCCCACCTCCGAGGAGTCTGTCTTCGACGCCCCTCCGGGTTTCTTTGCCATCCTCCTCAAATCCCTAGAGTACGGGTTCCGCTTCCCCCTCCATCAGTTAGTCAAAGATTTTTTCCTCCATTTCGATTTTCTCCCTTGCCAAGTCGTGCCCAAATCCCACCGTTACTTGGCGGGGTTCCTTATTCGTTGCCAAGGGACCGGGGTTCACCCCGATCTGGCCCGCTTCTTGTTGCTTTTCTGGTTGGCGAAATCGTCTGGCCGAGCGAACTCCGACTTGGGCTCGTATGCCTCCATCTCCCAAAGGCAAGAGAAGCTTTTCAAGACGCGGAAGGACTCCGCCAAGAGTTGGAAAGGGAAGTTCGTCTTCGTCTCTCTCTCCCCATGGGCTCCCCCTTTTGTACAGAGCCCCTCAGTTCCTTCCGTCGCCGTTCCGCGTGCGTCACCTCGGACAAGATGCTCAAGTTGGCTCGCTAGTGACGAACGATGCGTTGGTGGCGCTCGGCTTCGTCTACCTGTCCCCGGAAGACACTCAACGGAGCATCGAAGAAGGCCCCTCAGGTCAGTGCAATCTCTTACACCCGGTCGTCCGTAGGTCGCGACTAATTCGGATTTCCCATCTCCTCCTCGCGGCTAAGTACTCGCCTCACCACTTATCTTCTTTGGTTTTGTGCAGGTGAAATCATGCTTTCCAACGCCGAGCGGGTGAAGCTCATGTTCCCTGATGCTCCGAGCAATAGCTCCCAAGCCCCTGTTTCGGGTGCCCGTCCCCCAGCTCCTCCTGTGAAGCCGACCTCCGAGACGGCCTAGAAGAAGAAAAGGAAGGAAACGGCCTCGGCTGCCGATGCTCCCCAGGGGTCCGAGTCCCCCATGATGAAGGACTTCGGCAACCCTAAGTACGTCAAGGTAGCCTTCCCCGCTCGGGTCTCCTTCTTAGATGGGGACTACGATCCAGAGACCTTCCTGTGCACCTTCACTCCTCCCACCGATCGCGCGAAGATTAAAGATCTGGACCGAGAGACTTTGGCCTCGGCCTCATTTCACGAGCTGGGTTCGGTAAGTTTCCTCCATCATGTCTCATGAATGTAACTCAAATGTTGTACTCATCCCTTAATTATTCATAGGCGATGATGTGCATGGTCGATATGAGCCAACGGCTACGCGTCAGCGAAGATGACCGGACCAGGGCCTACGTCTGGCCGAGGAGCAAGCTCAGCAACTCGTGGAAAAGGTTGCTCGCAAGGCGGGCTAGGAGGGTCGCGATCAGGCCGTGGCCGAGTTCATATCCTCGGGTGCGTTCCAGGAGGACGCCTTCGCTCGCATGAACGATTTGCTCAAGGCATGGGGGCAGACTCCCGAAGGGAAGGCATTCGCTCGCTCCGAAGGGACGTCGTGGTACAACCTCGGTTTGTTTCGAGTGCAGCAAATACTTTCGGACAGGTTCCTCGACGGGGAGGACTTCCCCGAGCCGTGCGACAACCCTGATGAGTTCGACACTTCCTTCTACTACCCGAATGGCGGGGACACAACTGGCGAGCAGATGAATGTCGAGTGATATGACTTAAACTTTTTGTATTTGATGTAATGCTGCCCAAGACTTGTTGTTTTTGGACTTGGATTTTTCACTTTGTATGGATATGCTATGCTTTCTCTTTTGCCTTCAATTTTACTACCTTCGCCTTTTCCTTTCGCTTGCGTGCTCGCCCATCCCCCCTCCGACCTCGGCTCGGCCATGCCGAAGAGAGGTCATCTTGGGACTTGGTCCCTTTTCTGTCCCCTCGTTAACCGAGACAACCTTGGGACTTGGGACCTCTTGATCTGCCGCCAGTTTGACCGTCCCAGTGCTGCCACGTGTACCTTCCCCCCTTGCCAAGATGCCTATATAAAGGGGGGGTCCTCACAAATTGTTTGCACTCATATTTGAATTCCTTAAAATCTTGCCATGCCGCGCTCGGCTCCCACTCCCCCCGACTCTAGTGAGATGCGAGGAGAGACGTTCTCCTTCAGTAGCTACTCCCCTGGGGGCTCTTCTGCCATTCCAACCAAGTCAGGGCCGAGCTCGACCCCACCGCCCACGAAGCGGGACTCTGACTCTAAGTCCGAGTCGGTGCACCCCGATCCTTACGCCAAGATCCCGGGGTTCATCTACTACTCGTCCGAGGAGGACACGAAGAGTCCCTCTCTACCGGCTCGCCGCGAGGCCATCGCCCCACCGGTTTCTCCCAACCGTGGGGGCCGAGGATGTCGTCCTCCCGCCCCTCCGGCGGAGGAGCCGAGCGAAAGCTCCGTGGCGTCTCACCACCCGAGCCGCTGCTCCGTGGCTCGCCCAGCTATGACGAGTCTACCGGGCACTCTGTCGTCAGTAGGGCTCCTCCACCCTTCTACCCCCCACCTTGCTCGTGCGAGCGGGGGTGGAATTGTGGCATGCACTGATGTTTACTCGTACTTTAGTTGTTGTAAGGTGTTTAACTATTGTAAGGCGTGTGTGCCATGTACTTGCCCCCTTTTTGGGGATGGATAAAATTCAAATTCGATCTAGCTTTGTTTTCGTTTTTCGCCATCAGATTGAAGGGTTGCGCTCGGCCTTCCTCCTAAGGGCAAGTAATACCCTTGGGGGGTTATCTTCCTTAACAATTGTTGGCCAAAAATACCCTTGGAGGGTTATCTTCCTTGACAATTGTTGGCCAAAAATACCCTTGGAGGGTTATCTTCCTTGACACCGCGTAAGCCCCCTGGTGGGCAGAGCAGATTCCGGCGTGCACATCCCCCATGACTTGTTTCGATTCAGTTGGTCGAAGGCACCTGAGTAGCGTCCCGTTGTACACTCGCTTGTATAGCTTCTCGCCTTCCAATATATACCCCGGTGCCCTTGTCCGGACCAACTTGGCCTTCATTGCATCGTCCGGGAGGGCGCCATCCTTCAGGAAGGAAACTATGTCGTGTTGGGAAACGAGGCTTGGATAATGCAGCGGAAAACAAAATTATAGTCCAAAACTCGATTCCACCCAAGAACAACTTACGTAAATTACTAGCCATAGTAAGAAATTTACCTTAACGGTGAAAACGGAGAACGGAGGAACGGTCGGGGATGGTTTTGAGGAGATGAACGTAGCGCCAAACGTATGAAGCCTCCAACGTATCCACACGAACTTGCTCCGGAGTCCTAGATTAAACTTGTGCTAGCAAGTTTAATATAGGATAGTAAAACTATAATAATACTACTTTGGGAGTAATAAATATATAGTAAAATATTTATCTTATAAATATTTATTTATAATATTTTGTGTATATTTCTAACACTTTAGAAAATAACTTTGAACACAAAATAAAATTTTCTACTCTCTAAAAATGGGATGGCCGAAAGTTATATATGTTTTAAAAATCAAGACCTCATTTTATAATAAAGTATATTTAGGAACTTGCTAGGAAATTAATGTTAAACATAAGTCCATGTATATGTCTTAACATCATGTGTAAATGTTTAATATCTTAGCTACCAAACAAAATAGAATCCCTACATCAAATAATAATCAAATATATCAATTTGACATTAAAAAATACTTTATGTATAAAATCAAAATGGTCTTGGATTTTTTCTTCTTGAAATTTCGGTCATCCCATATTTGAAATATATCATATTTTATTTTTGACATCAATAATTATCATATAATTAAAATGATGAAAATTAAAATAATATATATATATATATAGACACACACACATTCGGCGCTACATATATATATATATATATATATATATATATCTGTGTGTGTGTGTGTGTGTGTATATATATATATAAAATTTGTTTTGTCAAAATATAATTATCATATAATTAAAATGACACAAACAAAATATTATTTTAAAATACATATGTATTTTCGAAATACATATATATGTATAAAATTATCACAACTATATATTTAATATTACTCCCACTAGTGTAGTATACTACTCCCTTACAAGTCCTAAGTGTGTGACCCTTTAGGTATCCATAACACTGGCAATGATATTAATAAAATTAATACCATAGATAATAAGCGGTATCTAGCAACACATTATTACCCCCAGATTATGAAAAAGACGTTCATCTCATCAATACCTTCTA